GTCAATTTATAGGCTAAGAACGAATGCTCAACATTGCAAGACATCGCATATTTGAATTTACTCAAATACCATGCTGTAATTATTTTAAGTTCTTTAACAATTTGTTCTCGCAAAATTTCACTAATTTTGAATATTGTTTCGAAACCTGGATTTTTTGTTATCTCTGTGTTCCATTTTGTTATAATTTTTTCTCCGCAAATTTCAGGAATGCCCTTAAAATTGCGATATATATTCAGTACTGGTTTCATCGATTCAGTTAAAGGCAGTCGAATAGTCTTTAATTCTTTTGTATCATCCGGGAAAGTTTGAACGTGGGTTTTGATAAATATTAAATTCTGAATTAACGATTCAGCTTGATGACCATCTTGTACTTTTTTAATTGCCAAAGCATCGTTTGCATTGAAAGATTCAACTACATTTTTAATATCTTTTAAATTCGTAGTATAAAATATTGCTGCCTGAAGCCAATCTCGTTAAGATTAGCTTAGATTGTCTAAAGTTCTTTCGACAGCATTCGACTTGAAGTAATGCTTTTACAAATATTTTTTTAAATAGAAAATGCTAAATCATTTAGAAGTGTTAAATGTTGACGCACATCTTCTGCAACCGTATGCAAGCCACGAATCACACGCGTTAGATGCACCGTACTTCGATAAAACAGCTTTAAATGTTTTCTAGCTTTTATCGTATGCGCAGCCGCATCTGTAGTCAACAATTAGATAATGCTCAAAATCCCATAAGCGTGAATCTTATGTAAAGAAATGCAATAAACGTACGACATGTGCAGTACGTTTTAACGTGTGTATTTATAAAAGATATGCAAAACATGTGCAATATGCAAAATATGTAAAATCAAAGAAATATTTGTGGGATCACATGGTCACGAAACTGTTTTGAATTGATATTTTGCATTCATAATTACTATTGTGTGGAGTATACAATGTATTTTCTTCACGCTAACATTTCTTTAAAAGAATTATAGTTCTAAATTTTAGTTTGCGCAAGTGTGTCAGGCACCAAAAACTTGTAGCTCGACGAATAATTTGCTTGATTAACAGTGTACTCTGTCGCAATATTAAAACCTATAAAAGTCTCCTCGAACGAATTCACCTGAATTAAATAGCCTACTCGATTCGTTGATTTCTATTTACCGTGTTGAAAGTTTTGATGCCACGGCGACGTTCCATCTGATAATTTTCTGCACTCGTAATTTTCTTCTAACTTTGCAAGACAAACGACTGCACTGCTTGGCAGCTCAATTTTATTAAGTAAACAGCAATAAATTTTATCTGCAGCGAATGCAAACTCCGTGGAAAAACATTCGAGGAACTTATATGGCAACTTTAGTTTCGCTCGGTGAAATTTCTTCTGGCCTCTCTCATCACTTCATTCTGATAAATTAAATATATTCACTAAATATTTAGTTTGTACACTGCGCCTGGCCAGGGGCTGGAAAGATTCCAGCGGAGTTGGTTCGCTGGGAGAAACTTTTTCTGTGACTCGTAATACAGTATCTTGTTGTCTTAAAATATTTGCGCGAATACTAACAAGTAATGTGATGTAAATATTAAGGAATAGAAGTGCTAATACAAGTATGTAAACATGTGTGGTAACTATACCTCGAATGTTTATGCAAATGCATAACATTAATTTCGAACATTATCTAGTTGTTGACTACAGATGCGACTGCGCATATGATAAAAGCTAGAAAACATTTAAAGGTGTTTTATCGAAGTACGGTGCATCTAACGCGTGTGATTCGTGGCTTGCATACGGTTGCAGAAGATGTGCGTCAATATTTTCTTGTAAATGATTTAGCATTTTCTATTTAAAAAATATTTGTAAAAGCATTACTTCAAGTCGAATGCTATCGAAGAATTTTAGACAATCTAAGCCAATCTTAACGAGGTTGATTCAGGCAGCAATATTTTATACTACGAATTTAAAAGATATTAAAAATGTAGTTGAATCTTTCAATGCAAACGATGCTTTGGCAATTAAAAAAGTACAAGATGGTCATCAAGCTGAATCGTTAATTCAGAATTTAATATTTATCAAAACCCACGTTCAAACTTTCCCGGATGATACAAAAGAATTAAAGACTATTCGACTGCCTTTAACTGAATCGATGACACCAGTACTGAATATATATCGCAATTTTAAGGGCATTCCTGAAATTTGCGGAGAAAAAATTATAACAAAATGGAACACAGAGATAACAAAAAATCCAGGTTTCGAAACAATATTTAAAATTAGCGAAATTTTGCGAGAACAAATTGTTAAAGAACTTAAAATAATTACAGCATGGTATTTGAGTAAATTCAAATATGCGATGTCTTGCAATGTTGAGCATTCGTTCTTAGCCTATAAATTGACTGTAACCGATAAACATCATTAACCAACACTTGATAGTATTGAAAAAAGTACTCGTAACATATTGTAATTTAAATAATAATTGATTATTATTTGATATTTAAAGTAAAAAAATTATTTTGTCATGTTTCGAGTATATTTTGCATATTCTCGTATACATATTGACATATTATTGATACATACTTATCATATGCCATTTACATATTTTTATATATTTTATTGATATAAACTGCCGCGTAGTCTAGTGATAATATTGATAGTTGAATTATAAAAATTGTACAAATATCACGCTAGACATGAGGAACATCAATGTTTATTCTGTAAGCATGTATGATAATAATGATAGTGGAATAACGAATAATATTCATAAACGAAGTTTGCAGACACCACTACGTATTCTACTAGTGTAAGGAATTATTTCACCCTCTATAGCTCGATGTAATTTTTAAGTCACATACTGATAATTTTTGGCCACAATGTGGCAAAAACATCTTTAAATTCACTTTTTCGGGAATTATTATATTATTATATTATTATATTATTACATTATAATATTATTTGCTGGTGTCGAATTGTGCATAGATCTTTTGACGCCTATGTAATAAATAGAAGCGTGGAGAATTAATTTGATTGTTTTAGGAATACTGAACTTTGAAAATATTCGAAAAGAAATGTGTGGTGAATAAGTTCGGATAATTAGTTGCGCGATAGAAGGTTTGTATGAAAAATTGTCGGGCAATTGTTTTGTTCGACCGGGTAACAATACTGCTGGCGACTATTCTCGTCAGGAAGCATGAATTCATCTATTCGGTATAATTACTGTTATTTCTGTATTTAAAGCACTACTCCCAGAAACAACGTTAATCGTTAAATATTCATAAAGTGACTTTCTGCTTGCGGTAGTCCGTCGAGCACCCCGTATATGCTAAACAGTTTAATATTTCCAGAGAATACTTCAGCGAAATCGTTGCGGCGTAGCCGTGTATATTGAATTTCGAACTTACTCTACTTGGAAAAACGCAGGGAGTTTAATAAACTACGGTCTTATCACTCCTCTTGCCTTGTTATTAAATGAATCGCACCCGAGCTCGAGTGGCTCGAAAATATTAAAAGAATTTGCATACTCGTTATACCTTTTCTCAAATGGCCATGGAAAATGTCAATATTCCATAATTTAGTAAACACCATTCGAACTTATTATATTCTTTAAACCTCGGACCTTTTTCTCAAAAATATAACTGAGTATGCTAAAGATTATTTATAATTTTATGTATAAATTTTTTGAAAGGTATTTTTTGAGGTACCCCTTTTAGTTAGCCCACTGATTATCAACAATTATAAAAACGGAAATTACTGTATATCGTAAACACTTGCGACAGTTGACACTGTTGACTAACAATTGTTAATTACATACAAGGTTCAGCAAAACTACATATACACATTGGGCGTTCTGATTAAAACTTTTCGCAATGACTACTGACTATGTTCTCAACTTTTAATTTGTTTCAAATGAACGTAATTATTTGTTGTTAGATGAGTTTCATTGTTTAACAACGGAACTTACCGTGTTTCAAACGATTAGACAACGAATGTCAGAATCTAGTCCAGGACACATTAAATGAAATTTTCAACATGCATATATATATAAGTTACCGGGGTCTACAAAATGCATTTTTTAAATTTTCGTTATAAGCTCAGATAAAAAAGTTGAAGAAACATCAATTTTTAATTCTCTTATCATGCCAACAAATTGCAATTTTTGGAAATAATTTTTTAGTCGTGTTCCTCTAAAATCCCAAAACAATTTAAATCGCTTGGCCCAATTTTAAAAAAGTTATTCCGTTTTGAATGTGTGCGATTTTTATCCACTGTAAATCATAATGAATTGTTTTTGTTCTAAGTTTAAATTTCGATTGTGATGCATTAATCTGATTATCTTCAATTTATTATTGACTAGCAAGAAGTTATTCTTTCTCTCTAAAGTCACATTTTCAAAGCCTGATTTATGAAGGCGGAGATCAAACACAATCGTTTAAGTTCATACGTTGCTCGAAAAAGATATTAAACGTTTGCTTAACGCAATTAAGCAATTCTATTTCGTTAAAATTGATTAAGAAGTAGTTGTCGCAAATATCAACCATTAAATTTTCTCAATAAATAGATCTTCATTTTTTAAATCATACTGTATTTCTTATCTTTTTTTAGAAGAACCTCTTCTTTGCGGCAAATATTTCTGCGCTTCTAAATTACTGCGGATTTTATTCACTCATAGCAAAAATGCATAGGTGAAACACAAATCTGTGGAGACGTTAAAACAATTTACGAATATTCCCCTACACAACATTCATCTAATTAGAATGATTAAAAGGAATAGTCGATTCTTTTTACAACTTCTTAAGATTTTCTTAAGAATTGCATAAAGATCGGCGTTCTGCTGAGGAAATTCACAAAATCCGTATACCCTCCTCACACTCCCTAAAATTCTAATCGCAAGGAGAAGCTACCTAAATGCTATAATAATTCCATATCCCAAGATCCCTCACAGCTAATCCAGCAAATCGAATTCCCAATGATCGAAGGATCTCGCCGGCCATTCGATTCATCGAGATGCTTCCTTTGATCATCAGGGTCGGAACAGCAAGGGATCGATCTTCGTTTGGGCGTCGGGGAACGGCGGCAAGGACCACGACAACTGCAACTGCGACGGCTACACAAACAGCATCTGGACCTTGTCTATCAGCAGCGCGACGGAGAACGGACAGGTGCCTTGGTACAGCGAGGCCTGCTCCTCGACCCTGGCCACTACCTACAGTTCAGGTTCAGCGGGGGAGAAACAAGTGGTGACCACCGACTTGCATAACCATTGCACCAGCAGTCACACCGGGACATCGGCATCGGCGCCTTTGGCAGCCGGCATCTGCGCCCTTGCCCTCGAGGCCAACAAAGAGCTCACTTGGAGGGACATGCAGCATATTGTCGTCAGGACCGCGAAACCTGCGAACCTGACAGCTCCGGACTGGGTCACGAACGGTGTTGGCAGAAACGGTGAGGACACTGTCATTTTATCGCCTATCTCATATTCTGTCTTTTCTGCTGACTTTTCCTGCGAGTTTCTTTTGACAGTGTAACCAGTTAGCTGCTTCGACGAGTGGGGTACTGCGAGGTGACTAATTATTTTGCCTTGTTTTGTGTTCCGGCATCATTAACTTTAATGTCCGAAAATAAAACAAAGGCACAGCAATTGGTCACAAACTGTTAACACAAACTGTTGCCATTTCTTCATGACAAGTCTACTCGTCAAAAACAGCTAACTGATTAAGAAGTAAATATAATGAGGAGTAAAAGTGAACACACATACGATATTTTAACAAAAATAAATTTTTATTCAATATTCGCCTGTAAAATACAAAAAAGAAAACGGAATATATATTATTAAGTACAATGTTTTAGCTGTTCAAACAAATTTTAACGACTGTGATATCATTATTTTGATAAATATAAATTTTTTTCGTGTAGTCGATTTTGCATCATTAAGCATTTTCAAATTAACATTTCAGTTTTTCGTAGATTTAATACTTCGTGCAATAAGCCTTTGATCTTGATTGTACTCTGAATATGTGTTTTTACTGTAATTGAGTAATTCAGTACCATTGTTCCTGCACTCTCTCTTACAAATCATTTATTTTCGTTGGCGGAGCATTATATTCGTGTGCTACATTTTCGGTAGGATTTAAGTCTGGGCTTTGAGCAAGCCACGCTGTCGTTTGAAATGGTTGATCATCGAGCCAATTTTTGACATTTTTCGCAGGATGCCCGACATTACATTCTGGTACTGGCATATCGTCAGCTGTATCTAGTAGATTCTTCCCAAAAATGTTCTTATAAATGTACTGGTTCACCGTAATTTCAATTCGATACAATGGATCTACGCCATATGTCGTAATATAACCCTGTATCATAATTGAACTACCGTCAAATTTAACCATTCGTTTTATATGACGTGCAAAAAGTGGTTCACTTTCCCTTTTCCAGCACCAGAAACGTCCATCCAACAAAATTCAAATAATTTCACACTCATCTCAAAAGATTACATTCTTCCATTGTTCACTAGTCCACACATAGCTTATGTATTTCTTACAAAGTTCAAACGGGTTTTTATGTTCTTTTTTGACAGGGCAGATTTACTTTTTCTTTCTAATCGTACAAAATTTTGCAGCGATTGATACTGTTACAGCAACGTCTAAAGTATGTTCTTTGTTAATCGTCGCTTATCCTGGCAAGATAATAATTTTGGACGGTCTCCAAATGATATAGCAACATCATTGCAATATCGTTTCCGTATTTTATGCACTAGTGCCTGGTTAACAGTAAACATTTTAGCAACTTTTCGTGTTGATAAGCCAGATTTTAACTGGAAAATAATATTATCTTTCACAGTTTTAGATAATGGTTTCATGGCAGAATGTTAATGCGTATCACTGCAATTACAGTTTTGGCGCGGTGCAAAACCGATTGCGCGAAAAAATGATTGTATGTATGAAAATAATAATGATATCATGATCGTTGAAATCTTGCCAGTAAATGAAAACATTATATATTTTGTTTCTTTTGTATTCTGCACGCAACATGGAATAAAATATTATTTATGTAAAAATCTCGTATGTGTGTTCAGTTTTGCTCTGTACAGTAGCTCACGAAAGTATTCGAAGACCTTTTAAAAAGCAATAACTTCTTTAAAACTGAACTAAGTCGACTCACTTTGTTTTCTAGACGATAGTGGGACTAATTGTACTGTATAAGCTTGATTTACTTCATATTTTGTTTAAAGAAAACACATTTCTGAAATGTATAATTTAATAAAGATTGTCAAAATATACAATATTTTAGACAATAACTGTTATAATAATTAATATTAATAATAGACAATAACTGTAATGCTTTTTCTTAATTTTGCTCTTATTTGAAATGCAAAAAAAGTAAGAAAACTCTCGTTTTTTAACTTTTTCATCTGAGCCTGTAACAAAAATTTAAAACATGCCTTTCGTATATCTTGGTTCACATTGTTATGAGTTACGAATAATTTAAGATCGCTAAAATCGCAATTTTATCCCGATTTTTGACACTTTTGACAAGAAGCTATAAGATATCTGCAGTTTTTTTAAATCTTTCAACACCTGTAGCTTGATTCTATTTCGATAAAATTTTCAACATGCACATGAATTACTGAGATCTTGGAAAGGAAGTTTCGAAATGTTTGTTATAAGCTCAGATAAAAAAGCTAAAGAACGAGATATTTTTACTTTTTCTTGTCATTCCAAGTAAGAGCAAAATTAAGAAAATGCATTTCTGTTATTGTCTCGTGGATTAGTTTCTCTATCATCAAAAAAAAATTCAAGTCATTTAATACAGTTTGATAAAAGTTATTGCGTTTTAAAAGGTGTTCGAATACTTTCGTGAGCTACTGTATGTAGATGTGTATAAGAGACAGATTTAATACAGTTTGATAAAAGTTATTGCGTTTTAAAAGGTGTTCGAATACTTTCGTGAGCTACTGTATGTAGATGTGTATAAGAGACAGATTTAATACAGTTTGATAAAAGTTATTGCGTTTTAAAAGGTGTTCGAATACTTTCGTGAGCTACTGTATGTAGATGTGTATAAGAGACAGATTTAATACAGTTTGATAAAAGTTATTGCGTTTTAAAAGGTGTTCGAATACTTTCGTGAGCTACTGTATGTAGATGTGTATAAGAGACAGATTTAATACAGTTTGATAAAAGTTATTGCGTTTTAAAAGGTGTTCGAATACTTTCGTGAGCTACTGTATGTAGATGTGTATAAGAGACAGATTTAATACAGTTTGATAAAAGTTATTGCGTTTTAAAAGGTGTTCGAATACTTTCGTGAGCTACTGTATGTAAGGTGATTCATGCAATTCTAACAAACTATACCTTTGTTTCGGTTCGAGTTTGGAAAAATATTGCAGGAGAAAGATGAATGGTTTTGAAGGGGTCATAAGGTGAAGTAAGTAGCTTTCCCGTAGGTGAATGTGCAGAAGCCCTGTAAAAATCATTTTAGTTTCTTTTTATGGATATTTACTCTTTTTTCACATATATCGAATCGTTTCTTTATTCTGCGTTTAAAGTTAATACGCATTAACATTACCGTTAATGTGCAATAACCGAGGAACAGCTTATTTCGGTAATGAAAACGATTAAAAAGTGTTGTGTGTAATGTTTGGAACGTGATTTTTCTAAAAATATTTTAAATTTTTCATGTTTAGATAAAGAAAAGTTTCGATATATATGAAAAAATGTAACTGTCCATTTATAAAAACGCCGCGATATTTATGTGACCTTTACAGGCCCTACGGGAAAACTATTTACTTCACCTTATTACCCGTATAAGACCATTAATTTTTCTCTTTTAATATTTTTTCCTAACTCGAACTAAAACAAAGATATAGCTTGTTACAGTTGCGCGAATCACCTTGTATATTTTGACAATCTTGATTAAATTATACACTTCAGAAAAGTGTTTTCTTTAAACAAAATATGAAGTAAATCAAGCATATACAGTACAATTACAGTAACTTTTTCAAAGAGAGTACGATAGTTAACTGATTGATGGATCGAATGCTACGTGAGATATAGTCATTGTCAAATAATCTAGATTTCAAGCCGAAACAGTGGGGGTAGCCAACGTGACGTAGCATACAGTGGTCGATTTTCTTAAGAAATGGGACTAAAATTAAGAACAAATTGTATTGCAAGTGGAAAACTGTTATGTAGTTTGACTTATTACTATCTAATACGTATCAGACTGGCCAAGAAGTATGTGCGGTTTTTGGACGGAAGGAATAAAAGACGTACATTCTGAAGAACCGTTCGAACTTTTTGGCCAATCTAATATGTTTGGTAGGTTTAAACGTTTATTTTTGCTAGTAACAGAAAAAATTAAAATAATACAAAATTACTTAAATTTTGATGATCATGTTTCGCTTCTGTCAAAATGTACATGGTCCTAATTATTTAAAAACTGGAAGCGTGGTTTCAAAGTATTACAATAATAGATGAATTATTTAGATAACAGATGAAATTCGTGGTACAGCCTACAGTTTGATTATTGGTACGTAACTTTTTTCGAATCTATTAAGATGAATTCGTTTTTGTGGTACACAATATTTTACTTATTACTGCAAGCGCAAAATCTAAAAATCTGCAAGTTCTTGCGAGTTTCTTGCCATTACTTGACAGAAATGGTACATGCATTCACGAAGATAAATAAGATGTTTTATTTTGTTATCTGTCAGTAAAACAAGTTTTCAAGTCATAATGATTTTCATCCCATTTTTAAAAGGAATCGGCTACTGCGCGGCGAAAATCTAGCTCAGAGTTCGGAATTAACCAGCATGCAATATGAAGATCGCGAAGGCTACGCCTTCTGAATCCCGACACGCGTCTCGCACCCCGATAATCGCCTAAGTGCTACACGCACGCATATACAGGGTGTTCAAAAATTATTGTGTTTCCGAGAACTGAGGGGTTCATGAGATTATTTCAAATAACTTTTTCCTTAGCGAAAATGCGATCCGCGGCTTAGTTTACAAATTATTAACGAAAAACAGTGACCAATGAGAGGCGGGATCAGCTGGCGCGTGGCGGCCGAGCCAATGAGTGGAACTGGGCTCTGTTCATTGGTTGCATTCATTGGCTCGGCCGCCTCGCGCTAGCCGAGCTCGCTTCTCATTGGTCAGTGTTTTTCGTTAATAACTCGTTAACGATGTCTCAGAGAACATTTTTGTAAAGGAGAAAGTTACTTCAAATGATCTCAGGGACCTCAAATTTCCCGGAAATACCATAATTTTGGGACACCGTGCTCCCCGCCGAAAAAGGCGACCAAGGGGAGCGAGACGCGCGACGGGAGTCAGGAGGCGTAGCCCCTGCGATGGTTAATTCCCAGCCCTGAATCTAGCTTATTTTTCTGGTTTCTATTGATATAGTTTAACACTGAGTCGGCCGAAATGACTCGTTTTACAATTTTTGTTTTATCGTTTTAGAAATTATAAAGACTCTATCGTAGAATTTGGTCGAATCAATTCTTTAAACGAAGCATACATTATAATAGGAGTAGCGAGAGGTTTAAATGAATACAGTTTTCTCGTCTTTATAAATGAACACTCGTTAATCACTTTTGGGGCTTGGTAGAATTAGTGTTAAATTAGACGGTGCGTTGCTAAAAGAGGTGACTTGAATTTACGGAAAGTCGCCAAGTATGAAATATCATTTTGTTTTTTCTATGCCCATTTCTTTACAAATTCATCATTCTCACGATTGACTCTTTTACAAATAAATTTTCAACACGATAAACGGTTATCAGTATCCAAGTAACTTTAAAAGAAGGTTTGAGTGCGCCAGATACGAAATTAGTATCCAAACAAGGAGATCAAATTGTTCTTGCAAGTGGGCATTTTTGTATAAAATAGTGTGTAGGTAAAATGGTTGAAAAATTAGCAATTTGGTAGAAATTGTAAATAAACTATGTTAAACATATTTAAACATCTACTTACATGTATAGAGTACACATAGAGTATTAATCTCTTAACTGTTTCAATTTAATAAACGAAACAGACTTGTAGAACACACGTTATCGTTTCAAAGAAAATTGTGTAATTACATTATTTAGTACGTAATTAAAAAGGTACATTCTGCTGTAACAAGGTAGCCATTCTCGAATTGTTCGCCGTTATCTACCTTGCACCATTTCTTTCTATTTGTAACTGGAAAAGAGATTGTGTATCATGTCCCAATTCCGACAATCTGCCACTACATTTGTATTTGCAGTCTTTTAATTACACTCAACAGATTTGCCCCAGTATCCCTCCCTTTAATTACGCTAAGGATTACTCGTATTCTTCTCCTTATTTCCAGCCATTATTTCTTTACTCTTTTCTTTCTCTTTGGTTCGTTTCCTCTGTTTTCACGGTTCTCTCAGCTTTTATCATCTAAAATCTCCCCATTTTGTTTCTACAGTACAACGAACGTTTTTTGTTATGTTGGAATGTTTTCTATTGTCCATAGTGAGCCATAGTTTCGGTTATGGGTTGATGGACGCCGCAGCCATGGTGCGTTTAGCGAGAAGATGGCGGACCGTGCCGGAACAACATAAATGCGAAGTCTCGGCGCCTCATATGGGCAGGTAAATAAATTATAAATTCTATCGAATTAAACAACTACATTTATTTTATTGTAGTTCACACATTCTATTTGATAATTGGCTATTATATTCGAGATATTCTAGAAAATATTTTTAAGATTGTAATAAGTACATTTCTTAAATTTATTACTAGGCTTGTGGTATATCCGAGCTCTGTGCCAAGTCAATAATTTTAATCGTTATTTATATGATTGAATATATCTTTGAATGCACGTTTGATATTGGTAAAAAACTGGATTTATCAAAATCTCAGTAATAGAGAAGATAAATAAACATAAGAGTAAATCGACTGTTTTAAACTTGATAATATATTTGATGGATCATGTATAACAAACAAAATGAATAAATGTGTGTTGACATGTGTCGAAGGCCTCGGTTTTCGATCGGCGAGTCTCCTAAACCTGAATTGACATTCGATACAATAGGCCGCGATACAAGTTCGAATAAATCGCTACATACAGAGCACACGAAATCTATTCCATTACATTGTCCGACAAAAACAATCTTTTTTTCTGATTTCCTACAGCCACTATGAAATTCTTGTAGAGCTCCACTCCCCGAACAAGAATCCGAAAACCGAATTGTTCCATCACCCTCGGTTTTCGAAAAAAACGAGTTTTTGAAAAAACCCAGAATTTTCGATAAAAATGAGGTATTGCATGAAAAATAAAATCGTTGAAAAATTCCAATCAGTCTTAAAAGATAGAGGAGAGCTTTTCGAATGTAGCGGCATACAATTTATTAATTGTTTTTAGTCCTAAATAACTATAAATTAACGTCCAGCACGAAAACTCGACCAGGATCGGATTCTGTAAACATTTCTGAAGAAGAAACGGCCCGACAGAAGTGTCGGAACGATTTACATTTCGAGCAGGCCGAGAAAATATTCGTCGGCAACGTGTGCACGACGTTTTTCCGCCATGTGCTCCGCTGCTCGCTTCTCTCGACTCGGCAGGGCCGAGCTATGCGTAATCAACACCGATGGAGGAATCAAATGGATATCCAAATATCCAATAATATTTGAATATTTTATTATTAGTTTCATACCTCTATTGTTTATATATATAAATAATTATATAATATATAATATATAATTTATATAATATTATATAATAAAATTATAAATATAATTTATATATATAATAATATATAAATATTATTATATATAATAATTATATATAATATGTTCCAGGAAGTTTCACATTTTAAAAATTATTATGTATTTATGATCGATATCGTTTTATATCTGTATTTTACACGATTTTATGATCAAAAATTCTGGATTTTTACGAAAGCTCGTTTTTTTCGAAAACTCGTTCGAAGAGTGAAGCTCTACAAGAATTCCATAGCGGTTATAGGAAATAAAAAATCGTGTCGAACAGCGTTATCTATCCTACCTGTCTCTGCTGATTATAACCAACAATATTAACACGTTGTTGACCGAAATTTTTATACTGGAACTACCTCATGTTACCGGCTATTATTTCATAACTGAATGTGGAGGTAAAACAATCTAATTAAACATCAATAAATTTAATTCGTGCAAACACAAATTAATTCGTGATCGATCAATAACGTTTGGGCATAAAAACACGAGTAAACTCGTGACCGGTCAACAACATCTGAGTATGAAAACACGAGTTAACTCGTGACCGGTCAACAATGTGTTAAAATGTTAGGACTATATACTACAGATAAAAAAAATTTCCCTCGAAAAAGAAAATGTGGATGGCAAAACGGGTCGCCAAAAATGCTGTACTCAGATCACTAAATTCGAAATCGAATCATAGTAAAACATATTTTGAAGAAGCCAATCTTTTCCCCTTCTTCTGCAGTAATTAACCCTACAGTAACTAGCCAATAATTAGCTATGCGATAACCGCGTCATTTTGTCCCAGTGCGAAAACCTAATAGATCTGCGAGAAGTATTTCATAAACTACGTATTGAAAAATTGATGAATAAAATTCAAAATGGTCGTAAACATTATCGCTTCTATAGTTACGAGTTCATTTATATAACTTTTTTTATGACCAGCTTATTGGAACCAAATTTATCGACTTTGTTTATTTTTAGTTATTAATATTTTTTTACTTATTAATATTTTCATATTACTTATTACATTCTTTGACATAACAAGCTTAAAAATATTTTATTATACTGCAGTTTACGTACATAGTAAACGTGCGTATTTTTTTTATCGAACTCCATTACTGTAAGCTTTTATGAACACCATAGAAGAGTTAATGACCCGCTCTGCCAGTGAAGGAATGAATCTATTAACCCTTTGCACTCGGGTGGCGATCCTGAGGCGACGCTAGAAATTGCTACACTATTTCCAAAAGAATTTTCACATTATTAAATTTGTCTGTATTCGATAAATGGTCAAATAATAGAAGTTTTCTATAAGCGCACACGTTCAATTTCGTATGTATGAAACAAAAACAATCATATTAAATGGAAATACTGTAAGTTGAAACAAATCTCTTCATTTTTGGAGTTGAAGTAATCTCGAGTGGCAAGGGTTAATTGATATCCGCGGTGCACAGAAGACCCGCGAAAGACAGTGCCAGGTGACAGAGCGAGGAACACCCGAATCGCTTAGCTTACAGTACACGATATATCAGAATTAACGGATTGAGCGATGAAAAATTCATTCGAGACATCCAGCGTTCCAGTTTCATGACTGACTTGAATTTCGTGTTCTATCACAGGCCAATACCACCAAAGAGCCAGTTAGTTCTGGAATTGAACGTCAAGGAGTGTAGCGGTGTTAATTTTCTCGAGCACGTGCAGGTAAGTACCGTGTCACTCGGGTAAGCTACAGGTTAATAGTTTTCCTGAAAGGTTACAATCACGCGCACGCGAAAAATTACCATATGTAACCGCGTTTTTCTTCTGCAATTATTACCTCAATTATTGGGTTGGCAACTAAGTAATTGCCGATTTCAGTTATAGATGTCTCTCACTCCCATTTTTATGATATCCGTAAATGTTATATTATAAAATTATTAGTATTATTATTATGTTATTTTTTATTATCCGTGAATGTTAGCAACTGGACAAATTGAATGCAGCGGTTAAGGAAAAGCGACCAGAATTGGTCAATCGTAAAGGTGTCATTTTTCCACCAGGACAATGCTAGGCCGCACACGTCTTTGTCCACTCGGCAAAAATTGATGGATATTGGTTGGGAATTGATGTTACAACCACCATATAGCCCTGATCTCGCGCCATCGGATTACCACTTATTTCGATCCCTGGACAACTCCATCCGTGGTAAAACTTTTAATGACGATGACGCTGTAAAATCTCACTTAACTCAGTTTTTGGCCGAAAAGGATCGGACTTTCTACGAGCGTGTAATTTTCAAGTTGTCAGATAGATGGCAAAAGGTCATCGACAAACTGGAAAATACATTACAGATTAAACTTCATTCCAAGTAAAAAAAATTTTTTATTTCATTGAATAAATCGGCAATTACTTAGTTGTCAACCCAATAAAATAAAATTTCCCTGTCTCTCAAGAATTTAGAAATATATTATAAATCGCAAATTAAAACTTTTCTGTTAGCAATGTTTATATAGCGCAACAAAAGTAGATTGTAATGTCAGTTTCGCTTTTTACACACTTATTTTTAAAATTTGCAGTCTTTTTGCAATAACTACGGCAACAATCTTCGATTAAAACTGCGAAGTGTCTTCTATTTCCTATCGTTGCAGCGATTTACTGTTCGAAGAATCGTGAGATTTTAGAGATTTCGAAGGCTTCGCGTAGTTAATGTTATTTTGTCCGCGTCGGGAGAACGATATTTGCAGAACACAGAACTGATTACTAAAAGTGTAATTATATTTTTTGTCGCGCGGATCCGAAGAGAACGGCAGGCTTAATGTCGAAACTTTTCATTTCGTCAAAGTGGTACGCGGTAGTGGAACAGGTTTCCAGCAGAATATAGTTTCTCGCTTGTAATGAATACACAAAGGGATCTGCAAAATGCTCTGAAATAATTGTTACAGAATCGCGAACTTCAAAGTTCTCTGCCATGGAAGTCGTCGCATTCTAAAATCCGAGGAAAGCGTTCACTTTTTCCTGCGCAGCACTGGCGTATTACCGCGGCCGAAAGAATTATTTTACAACTTTTTCAAACAGTCTCGTTCACGCGCGAATTTTCATTCTTTTCTGTGAAAAAAAAACATTCCTGCGCCTAGATTTTTGAAGTTTCTTTTGCACGATTTTGCTAGAATACGCGTTTTCAGAGGACATAACGTTGCGGACGAAATGATCACGTGTCTGCGTTGTCATAACGCGTAGTCGGAGCACATTTTATACTTCTAGCTCTTAAAAAAGATTCTTAATGTGTGGAGACATAGTGATTACTGTTTTAACCCTCACCATTCCACGTGCCAATTTGATATAGTTTTCGAAGAAAACTATACTGAAGTTTTCGAAGAAAACACGTATACTGAAGAAATAATCGAAAATAATTTTATTAGTACCGATGAACACAAAAAATTTGTCTCGTCTCGTCTTAGGTTTTCATTCTTCAAGAAGGAATTTACGAAATTAATTACTTAATGTTCCATCTTATTTTTACCATCGCTTCAATTTGATATGAAAGGACAGATTATGAGGTAGAAACGAGGGACGGGCGAGGGTTAATTATTTTTCATCATGTAAATTTCAACTAGATTTTCTTCGTTCAATATGGATATTGATTTCTTTTAATGTATTTTATGTTAAAAGATTCTATTTTTTAATATTTTCGTGGCTGATGACCCGAGTGCGTAACTCTTTAGCCAGCGTTTATCGACCTGTGTCACGCGAACGTAATTTTACTGTTCACGACTGTTAACTAGGCAGTGTACCCTATCTATTTATAGCAGCTTCGATTTTGTACGATTCGACAGAGAAAATTGTTAAAAAGATATTCAATAAAATTCAAAAATAATACTAAAACACAACAATAAAATTCAATAAAACATTATTTTGAACAAAAATTGTTTTGAACAATACGTCATTTTACGTCAGTCTTGAATCATTAAATTAATCTCTTTAAAAACTCCTAAAAATGCTGTAGTCATTTCGATTAATTATAAAAAGTTTATTATGCTCTAAATAGTACAGATATTTTATGCTGCTTCAGAAATTATAGACACTTCGTTCTGTTTTATACATTGTAGACATTTTATTCTGCTTTAAAGTTTGTAGTCACTTTGTTCTGCTTTAAACATTGTAGACGCTTTATTCGGTTTTAAAAATTATCGACATTTTATTCCGCTTGAAAAATTATAGACACTTTATTCTGCTTTAAACATCGCAGACATTTTCGGCAGATTGTGGCTTTTAAGGGAAGCCTTCGTTGAGCGATAAATTAGCTAATAAAGCGTAGGATCGTTAACGGGTGGTGAAGATAGTGCGCAGGAAACTGTGTGAAATCTCCGGGCGACCTAATATTATTTCTGTGTGGCAGGCGAAGGTATCTCTGATGGCTACCAGAAGAGGGGATCTCCAGATACAGCTAACGTCTCCACAAGGGACGAAGAGCACCCTGCTCGCGAAAAGGCCACACGACATCTCGAAAGCCGGTTTCAATCAATGGCCATTTATGTCGGTTCACACTTGGGGTGAGAGGCCGCACGGCACGTGGAAACTTGAAATCCACAATGAGGGTCGATATCAAGGTGAGCCCATTGTATGGATCTTATTGTTCTTTTCTTTCTTCCTGTACAATGTTTCCAGACTAGTAATAAGACTTTCTTCCCAGCGCTTCGAGGAAAAAGCACAAAAGTCTTTCGATCGGAAAGAATACTTGTTCTGGTTACACATAGTATAATTATGACTGGTCAACAAATAGCATGCTAATTTTCCATTTTCTTCTCGCTGCCGTTTCTATAGACAAAGTGATTAACATGAATTGATTACTTCATGTAATTTTACGATTACGTGATTGACAACAAGTGATATCCATATGAAAAAGTTAACAAATATTATTAACTGTGCAAGAATTTTTATACCATTAGAATATTTATTCTAATAAAATATCGGACCACATCTGAATCGTTATAATATATTAAAATTTGCTTAAATTACTGCATCTCATTTTTCCAATAATCAATAACCGTTATTAATGTAAGAAACCACCAATATGAGTCGATAACCAAATATCCACCTCTAATTAGCGTATAAAATTCTTATTGTAAAATCTACCTGTACCTCGAGTATTTTCGCATTATTTTACATTGAAAACATATTACTAGACTGCGGATCATTATGTGAAATAAAAACTTGATGCATCGTTTGGCGATGAATAGGAATAATTCCTGTCGTGAATAACTTTAATGAGTTATAAATAAAATAACATCATTGAATTCTTCTAATAGTGTCACTGTATCGCTTTTCATCAACTCATTTGTCTTATAAGTGCATAAAATTCGCAATCTGAACATTATTAAAAAATCTCTGGTGTTGACATAGAAATCACATAATTATAGCAAGATAATTAAGATACGGCATTAAGAGGAATTCGATTCGGCAGAAAATCGAACGAAACATTTCGTTTGAAGGATGTGGGGTCATGGTTGACTCCATCCGGTGACGTACGACATCCACGGGAGTAGTACTATTATTTTCTGGACCATAGTCCTAGATCCGAGGATAAGCTATATCAGCTGTGGACACATGGTATATGGTCCACCTGCTGGTCATAATGTATTCGGGTCTAAAGACCATGACCCACATGTGGGTCATACCAGTTTCGGTTCCGTAAGCTATGGCCCATTGCAGATAATAGTGTCTCTAGCGTCGAGACCATGACCCACATACGAGTCACAGCTGTATTAATTCACTTTAGTCAGACTTCTCCAGTCAAGAGTGACTCGATCAAACATTTAACGCTTCTCGAGACTGAAGTTCGAATGCCAAATTGTATTAGGTTGCTGAGAAATACGTGATGGAATTCAAGACTATTATTACTATTATCTTTATTCTTTATTAACGAACTTTATAAGCTCTTTTATAGTACAGGTTTAATATACATTCGTTGATATAAAATTTGCGGCGTTATTCATATTGGATATACTCGATGTGAAAGAATTAATTATTAGCACAAAGAGTACAGAGATACGTAAAGTTCTAAGAGATGGCACAGAAATATCAAAGATCTATATGGTCGCCTAGTTTGTTCGTGGTTCTAGCCATTCTGGTTATACAATTTTAATGTACTAATAAAGCCCTGCTTCTATCAGTAGGAAAGTGTTCGATGTTACACAGTGACATAGATGGTACTCTCAGTTTAAAAAGTTCTCTAATACGGCCGAACAATCAACAGAGATGCTAAATATTGCTACATTAGATATCAGTATGGGTATCCTATAATGAAATTATACTCGTACAGTATTAAAAATTAGTATTTTATTAAAATTTTTTGCAAGAATTTTTGTTCGTTTGATCTTTCGATAAACAATGAAACATTTAACTCTTCGCGAGGCTAAAGTTCGATGCCAAAATGTGTTAAGTTCCTAGAAAATATGTAGTTACATACACGATGCTGAATTTTGCTGTATTGTTATCATTGTGGTTGTCCCATGATAAAATTATACTCGTACAACGTTAAAAATTGGCGATTTGTAAATCTTATCATATTTTTTGTTTACAGAAAGATAATTCTGATTGCTTCCGATGATTTTATTGATATCAGATCGAGTTAATTAACATAATTGTACAGGGGCCCCGTGTAATTATAACATGTCAAACGAGAACGCTGATCTACCACGTATTTCCCATGGATGTAACATATGAAATATTCACATAATTATGCGATACTCCCGAGGGGTGTGGTAAATCCCAGCAAATCTAACTTAATTAAATTTGCGTAAATTTAATTACATTTTAACAAATTGATTCGGGTTCAATTAAATTTCGTTTCCTGCGTTTCACAATTGGTCACTTGTGGCTAAATTACATATCAAAAATGTCCCAACGAAGTTTCATTTTGCAAACGTGGTCCACTGAATGCAAATTAATAGAAGTGGTACGAAATGATACCATATCATATATACTAATAATTATACCGATACGTGTATCGTCATGAAGATGAGTCAGCACGACAGTAGCATTGCCATAAATGCCTCGAAAATTCTTTCAACAGACAAAATAAATGTTTTCACTAATCTTGGATTTTATAAAATAATCGATGTAGGATTATTATTAATAATAAAACGTTTTTAAATATTTTCTTTAAAATGCCAAACAAACAGATTCGTTTCTTGTTAATAACTTATCTATATTGTATAAAATATTCTTCAATCTGAAACATAAGTGTGTAATTACTTTTGCACCAACCTAGCAGAATTAGAATTATTGCTAAACTGTTAATTCATCTCTTATTGCTACAGTTAACCTGTTGCACTCGAAACCATTCCATTTTAAATTTTGTGTATTATTTTAACATATTTTTTATAATGCACATCATACAAAAATTGTTAGAGCATTTAGACCACAGTATTCGGTATAATCAAGAATATTTGCAACACATTCAGCGTAGTCTACAAAATTTGGAACACAGTAGATGGGATCAGTAATTTGTTAAGACCGCACGGTCCGGGCACAGTAACTAACGCATAAACTTCTTTTCTATTTCGATTAATATCTCAAATTTATTTAAATAGTTCTATTTGAAATAAATGTTGGCTTGAAAAAATCTTATGTACAATGAAAATTCTGAGAAAAATATAAAAGTCGCCAAAGAAACTACTTTGTATAAAGAAATTATAGCCGAGTTGGAGTATTAAGCCAAATTTTAGGTTATTGTGGAGTCAGTTATTTTACAATAAACTAAGAATTGACACTTTGGATACCGTCCACACATAGATCGGACGTTTAGGAAACACAATTGACCACTCCCGAACCGCCCATTGTCATACTGAAGCGTCGAGGCAACTAGTACGAAACCCTTGCAAGTTGATTAAAACCAGGGATCATAACCGCCACCTGACCCTAACCATAACCCGGTTAACCAAGGCAGGTTACAGTAACCCACAGTAACCCGCGAGAGAACGGCTCCCAAGTCGTCCAGAGAGCGGGTTAACCCGTTAAAAGCGGTTAACGTAACCCAATTCGTAACCCGGTTACTACAGGAAGGTTATAAGAGCCGCTTATTAGATAGGTGAATATAATAGTATGTAACCGGGTTCTGCTCTGTGTAACTCGTAAGAGCGGCTGTTGGTAATCCGATCAATCAGTTCTTGAAATCTGTTGCAGTTATGGGAAAAAACTGCGAAAAGTATTGCTGAATCTACTAATCTCTTTACCTTGATTAGATAAATGTTGTCATCGAATTGTATTGCAATATTCTACAATTGTGTCGTTCATCGACGTGCAGTAATGTGTTATATTCTAGATTGCAATTGTTTTAGAGGGAACTTTTCTTTTGTTTTGTTACTGTCGGCAGTCTTGTCTTGTTCAGTTGCGGAAGAAGTGCGCTTTATGTTCTTCGGTAGTTCGATTGTGTTAGCAGTTGATACTTTCAATAATTTCATTTTACATATCCTTTATAATATATAATATATTGTATAATATATAATTTTTTATAATAATACAATATATGTAAAATGGAACATCTTGTTCGTCAGTACTTTTCATTTAATGTGAATGAAAACAAATCAACATCTCTTGTCAGTGGATGTAAAATAAGACCAACAGAGTTATTTTTAGTTTTTAAATTTCAAGTTATCATTTTATCAAATCGACGTGTGTTATTGAAAAGTAACACGTTTCAGTTTTCTTACAAAGACTAGCTCATCAGATTTTATGCACAAGAAAAGTAGTACATTTCAATTTTTCTATGAAATAGTAGCATTTATTTTATATGTAGCGACGAAGACTAACATATTGTGCTTTTCGCTGCGAAAACTAGTACATTTTAATACTTTGTCGGGTAGACTAGCACGGATCATTTTTATCCGCGAAAAATAACACGTTTCGCTCCCTGTTGCGAAAAATAGCATGTTTTATTCTCTGCCGCAAAGAATGTCACATGAAATAAATTAATAAAATAGGTTTCTTAACGTTATACTATCGTAAACATCACAGAATAAACTCTTTGAACTAAAATATTTTTTTTTTAAAGTGGATGGATTTATAAACAGATATAAACAAATTTTCTAATGAATAATATTCTAATAAAATTCAATATATTCTCTTGGAATGCATTGACACGCCATAAGATCGGGTTAACCGAGTTAACCGAACTTCTACGCATTGGTTAATCCGGTTACGCGGGTTACTCTACGAAACTGGGAGCAGAATCAGGTTCGAGTTATGGTTAGGATGCCTGATTGAAACACATTTATGTGTATGGGTTTCGTCTAGTGTAATAACATTGCATAGGTTTGCTTCGCCATTAAATGAATTTTACGTCAATTCAAATATCATGTGTAGTCTCCCAATTAAGAAACAGGTAACAGCATACTAAGATGAAGGATAGTCTAAATTTCCCTTACATATGTCTTTAGTACCACCCGCCCCCGGCAATAAGCGAAACACGGGAACTGCCTTTATTGTAGTCAGTGGCTACTCGGGGTCTTAGGTTATGTTAGTCTTAGATCTAAGGAGTGTTACGTTAGAGCAGTATACATTTCCTCAGCTAGAGCTGTATGGATCCATTTGTCAGTCTTAGTTACTT